CAGACAAAATTCTCCATGATTAACTGCTTGCCCACTCTAGAGCAACAGAAATTTTACGATGATTTTTAGGTAAGATCTACACAGTCTAGATACTGCTATATAAATGCCTAGATGGGATCTTTCACCTGGAGTTTTATAAATGTAATAAAAATATTTGTTTAAAACTATGAATCCCACAAGGTAGCATGAGAATTTCATACATTTAAAAATATAGACAGTCATAAAGAAGAACAAGATATCATAAAGAATTCCAAGGAGTTAGGGCCAGCTATACAATTAGAAGGCACAGTCCCTAAGACTGCCCTCATTTCTGACACCAATTGAGTTAGAGTGTTTTCAAAACCATGCTAAGGTTTGATAATTCACCAGAAGGACTCACAAAACTCACAGAAAACTATTGTACTCACAGTTACAGTTTATTACGGGGAAAAGATATGGATTAAAATCTGCCAAAGGAAGAGACATATAGGGCAGAGTCCAGTCGTATTCCAGCTGTGAAGCTAACATTGTTATCAGGACGTGTTATTCTTCCAGGACTGATGTGTGACAATATGCATGAATTATTGCTAACCAGGGAAGCTCACCCAAGCTTTGGTGTTCAGAATTTTTATTGGACTCCACTCTGTAAGTATGATCAATTGATTGATCGACTGTCTGCAAGGTTGATCTCAGTCTCCAGGTTGACAGACACTGTGTGATCCAAAGCCCCTACCCTAAGTTACATTACTGGTCTTTTTTGTGTAGCCAGCCTGCACCCTAGGACAGTTGAGTGTGGCTGGCCATGCTCTAAGATCCAGTGTGGCCTGTCTCCACATTAACTAAGGGCACCTTTGTCAGGTATGACATAGATTACTTCCAAGAAACTGAAGGAAAGGCCAGACCTCTCTTTGGGCCAGACCAAATTATTTACTACACAGGCCACCACTAGCCTTTGCAAGGCTCTGTTACAGCATAACAATCACATTTGAGCATTTACACTTAATACATCATTTATAACAAACACAACAATAGTATCATTATAAACATGCCTAACGTTTGAAAGAGCCACTATGAAGATAGGGATAGATTTAAAGAAGAAATGAACTTGTCCTAAGAAGCCATTATATACATTTTCATATTTTTGTCCTTTGATCTACCACTGTTTGTATCTCGTGATAAACTTGTGTAGAACTATTTAGCATAGAAATTAGCTGATGGTTAGCTCAATGCAGCTCTTCCTCAGGCTAGTCGTTTTCCACCAGTATTAATCCTGAGGAAGCTTTAACACAGTTTCCCAATACATTTGACCATCAATATCAGTATTATAGTCTTACCAACATGCCTGTGTTACAACATATCACAGTATAGCAGTAGATATAACCTGAGAAAAAAATAATCAAAAGATATCGGCACATTGTTAGATCGCCACTCAGTCATTAACAATTAGTTTAGTCCATCATGATATTGTGTGACCAAAATGTCTCCCAGAGTGAGTGCTACGCAGGTTTGCAGGCATCTATTCAACCTTGTAAAATTCCAGAAACAGGAATGGTTTCAGCAGCATATGGCTTCACTCTTTGAGATGTTTGGCATACTTGAACTAAGAGACAATATTATCTTTTGCTACGAGCCCCTCAAGGAGGCAATACAATATTGGATTTTCCTCAGTGCATAACCCATTTATTCAGTCTTTTACCTTCAGCTACTATTCTTCCTTCTCTACATCTGTACCTAAACTTATTCACCTTTGGAAGGGATGTTAGGTTCAGCCATTCTGCCAGTCCAGAGTGCAGTAGCAACACTAGTTTAGCAAGTGCCTCTCATTCAGTCCACTTCTGTACATATAGAGAAGGGCTTCATATGTACAGAACTAGTGGGCTATCTTAACCGCTGGGCAATTTAACCGCATTGACTGTCAGCCCAATTTTGCCAGATGGGAGGAAGTCCCAATTCATCTCATCGGGCCCTAGGAATTCTGATTTGAGTTTTAAAAGGAATAGTTCCAATTTCTTACTTAGGGATCATCCCTCCTTCCAGTAATCACAGTTTGCAGCCTTGGTCCTGGGACTACTGTGTCTGATAGGAAAAAAAGGAAAGTTGAAATGATATAGGGGAAAATGAAAAAGCATAGTTGTACCAACACCCTCCCACTGTGGGAAGAATTGTATAGTCGTACTACAGTCTTCCCCTCCCCCCTCTCCCTCAGATCCTTTAGCACAGTTGAGGAATCTATCTAGTGGGGATCCTCCCGTAGCCCCTCTCATACTGAGTGTGAGCACACACTTGTGAAGGTGTGTAAGCCAGCTCTTCATGTCTTTACCTCCCCCTGTTTTAGACAACAAATATTTTAATTGCCCTTTCTAGTTCTCTATCAAACTATTACTCTGAGGATGATATTTCTTTTTTCATTATTGGATATTTATAGCCTATAAAGTGTGTTCCTTGGTCTGAAGACATGTGATTCAGTCCACATTGGCACAATATTTTTTGTTCTGGTCCTTTTATATTACTCTCAGCACTTGCATCTACCACCAGGGAAGCAGAGCCCAGTTCAGAGTAAATGTCAATTGCCCTCAGGGCCCATTTGTGGCCTCCAGGGGCTATTGGCATTAGTCTGACTTGTCAGTTTTGTGCTGGGCCTTCTCCCTGAGGACTCTGTGCCATAGACATCTCCAGTTTCTATCTGTCTTGTGAGACAAAACAGTTCTTATTGGCATTTTGTGCCACAGAAGGTATCTAGATTCAGTCTGTATCTGCACTGCGGCAGGACCCCAAATTCACTCATTTTGTAAACCCAGGTGATCACCTCAAGGGAGCACACTATGATATATACTTTCTGGTTCCAATCATCTTGCCATCTTGGAAGGGGATTATTCTGATGGGCATTGCCATATCTTACTTTAATGCAGCCCTTTAATTCCCGTTGTCAGAAAGAGTCTCATCCTGCCAGAGGAAGGAGCTGAAAATAGATGATCATTTTCTGAGAAACTTGATACTTCCTGTGTAACACCTTTAAATATCCCCTGTGCAACAGCACCGATAGGCATAAATTTTACTTACTATGGATTACCTAGAAGTGTAGCACAGTGGTTCTCAAACTTTATCAGAATATCTGGAGAGATTCTGATTCAGTGGGTCTACAGTGCAAACAGGGAATTTGCATGTCTAAGTTCCCAGGGGATGCTAATGATGCTGGTCTGCAGACCACTCTCCGAAAACCATTGTTATAGCACATGGTTTTATTTTTTTCTATTTTAATTTTTTTTACATGGTCAGTTTCTAAAGTTTTTTTAATTTTTCATTTTTTTATTGCAGTAACATTGGATTATAACACTATATAGCTTTCAGAAGTACATGGTAATATATTTCAAATTCTGTGCCGATTACATCATGTTCACCACCCAAAAACTAATTATAGTCTATCACCATACATGCGAGCCTAATCACCCCTTTCGCCCTCCCCCCTCCCCCCTTCCCCTATGGTAACCACCAATCCAATCTCTGTTGCTATGTGTTTGTTTGTCGTTGTTTTTATCTGGTACTTATGAGTGAGATCATGTGGTATTTGAATTTCTCCCTCTGACTTATTTCGCTTAGCATAGTATCCTCAAGGTCCATCCATGTTGTCACAAATGACTGGATTTCATCATTTCTTATGGCTGAGTAGTATTCCATTATGTATATAAACCACATCTTCTTTATCCATTAGTCCACATGGTTTTAGAAATCATCTGTTTATGTCTGTTTCCCAGCTAGAAGGTAAGCTTTTCAATTGCAGGAATAATTTTATTCATCAATATGTTCCCATGACCTAATCGAACACTTGGTAAACAATCAATAAATATTTGTTGATTGAATGAATGATAATGCCGTTTCTATCTTCATGCTATTTATATAGATACCACTTCTATTGGTGAAATCACCTGCATATTTGAGAGTGGCAATATGACTTTATTTTTCACACATGCAGTGTTAGTATTTTAATATAAATACTACTAATAAAACATTATTTTACTATATTTTAATAATTTCAGCATGATATATTGCTAACAATCTTTACAGAAACATTTTTTGCTATATCAGTGGATATGTGTGTGCATGTATATGTGTGCACACACTGGGTTTAGAAGAATACTATTTTTCTTTTATTATACGTGAATGGATGGTATAAAATTGCTACATGAAATATTTGGCAGCTGTATACCTTGCAGGCAAAATTAATGAAAAAGAAAAATTTATAGAATCTAGGCTAATTTGAAAGTGTGATGAAACATGTCCTCACAAATTAAAGTTTGGAGAATGGTAGAAAGTACAAAAATGCATTGATAGTCTTTCTGAAGATTTTCCCCCCATTCTGTCTTCTGCTCATTAATTGTTAAATTAATATTCATTTGGATTCTAGTTGGCCTCTTTAATGCCAGGTTCCCGAACTCAAGTGGAACTAAAGGCAAACTACCTTAATTTTCCCTCTTTCGTATCACTCTTAAAGTTTTTAAACTAGCACTACTAATTTTAAGAAATTAGCAAACCAAGTTACCCTGGGCCATGAGTTAGTCCAATCTCATTAGCTAAGTGAGGCCCAACCTCAGTGTTGCCCATGTTACTTAGAATATGTAATTAAGAGGGCCATTGAAGGCAAAGGTAGGGTTGAAGCGATGGCAGGACTTACATGTGTAATGATGAGAAGCAGCAGCAACTAGGACTATGTAACCTTGCAAAAGGAAAGTAAATAAAGTTAACATTATAAAAGATGTAGAGTAAGCTGATTAATTTCTTCTTTGAACCAATCCAATAACATGTTTAAAATAGTTACTGGATGATATTAATGGCATGTAAATTTAAAACCAATAAAGAGATATTTCTCCATACAGCGCAAAACCGAACTATGAAGTTCTTTCTTCTTTTCTTCTTCTTCTTCTTCTCCGCAAAGCCCCCCAGTACATGGCTGTGTATTCTAGTTGTGAGTGCCTCTGGCTGTGCTATGTACACCACCTCAGCATGGCCTGATGAGCTGTGCCATGTTGCGCCCAGGATGCAAACCGGTGAAACTACAGGCTGCCAAAGTGGGGTGTGTGAACTTAACCACTCGGCCGAGGGGCCTGCCCCTGAAGTTCTTAACCACAGAATATTTTGTGTTAAATGCCACAGTTAGATATTTTAAACGACTTTAAAAACTTAATTTTGTTTTGAATTCAAAACTCACAACACACTTAAAACTAAGATTTAAAGGGCATGTGTTGTTTCGTCAACTGAAAAGAACTACTTACTAAACTGAAGACACGTGGCTTTTTGATAATTTTACCTAAGGTGGAGATACCAGTCATTACTGACAGATAGAAGCAATGTGAAATGTGAAATATCCTGTTTGTATCCTATTTGAGGAGATGTTTACAAAACGAGTCATAACAAAAATTCCTACCTGCAACTAAGATATACATGTACCAGGGGGGATTTGGGGAGATAAAGAAGAAAAAAAAAATATTCCTACTATGACAAAAGATTTTTATCATTCTTGTGGGGCCTAAATATTTAGACTTGATTTCCCTAGGTAATTGCAACCTTGGAAAATGAAAACCATACCAGGATTCGGAATGTGTTTTGCAATCTGGTCCCAGTCAAAATTGTGAACAAGGTGAAGTTTTTCTTTGAGACTAGGTCACTTCCCTTTGGTGTCTGATACAGTACTCTCATTCTATTCCAGGGTTTCCTACTTATGGAACAGGCTCCCAAATCCTACAGGGTCTAGATCGCTAATGGGTGATGATTTGCTAATCCTGTGCAGTAAACTGTGCTGCTGTGTGTCGTTCCAACCAATTGGATAGGGTGCTGTGGACTATGACTCCCTAACTCAGTGAGTGAAAATTGCAGTCTCTTAGGATAGTAGGAGACCACGCAGTGCCAGAATCCCACCAGAGGTACCTCTTCAGTAACAATTCCGCTGATGGGAAGTCCACTACTTCATCAGATGGGGCAGTTTTAGATGTCAGAAAGTTCTGTTTCGTATTTAGCCAAAATCAAGAGGTATCAGGGTGTAGGAAAGTAATCAGGATGTTCAGGAAAGAACATTAGCTTTGGAGAAGGTCTGAGCCCCAATTCCAGCTTCACCATTCACTGCCTGTGTGAATCTGAGCATGTTTTTTAACTTCGTGAACCTCAGTGATCTGATAAAAAGGAATAAATGAAAAATCCCAAAAGAATCATGACAATATTAAATATTTGCAAAACGACATATAATTCTGGGTACATACAGAAGATGCAATAAATACTAATTTCATCTTTTCTCCTATTCTTCCTAGTCTAGTTCCTCCTATATGAAATATAAAATTGTTCTGTTCCTTTTATTTCAAATGAAACTTTCCAAATACCTAAACATAAGTGTCATGCTTCTCCTTTTACTATTTTCTTTTGAGTCCAAATATCACCATTTCTTTCAGCCATTCCTTGTATGGCGTGTTCTTCCAATCCCTCGCTATGCTGTTTCTTTCAGAGAAGCACATTCTACTTTATGAATATCTTCAGAGAATTGTGGTGCCTGTAATTGGGGATGGCTCCCTAGAGGTGAGTTATATAAAACAGTTTTTGAGGTGTCTATTTGTGTTTGTTTTCCATTCTCTACACCATCTCATCTTTCTCAGTCCCTTTGCCGTGCTTCATAGCACCTTATCATTATCGGAAATGTTTTCTTCTTTAATTAGCTAATTAATTAAGTCAACAAGTTTGTGTTTGTTTCTTAGTTCTCCCTCTTATTTGGATGGAAGTCACATGATTGCAGAGACCTGATGTGTCTTGCTCACCCTTTTATAACTGGCACTTAGTACCGTCTCTGGCACATAGAAGATGTCAGCTAATATTGATAAATAATGAGTTCAAAAGCATCGTGAGAAATTATTTGAGATAGAGATGATGCTGGGTATGTACATGGAATTGCCAACTCACAGATCTTACATAAAAATATAATTGCTTAGAATTTTAAATTTGCTTTCTTTTGGTAATAATATATATCTGATAAGTAAAAGAGAACAATGGAAGGAAATGAACATATCTGTCCTTGATTCCACTGCTCAGACCTTCCTTTTGGTTTGGCTTCAAGGGGCTGCTCTCCAGGCACAGAGCCTATGCTCCACCAGAGAGTCCCTTCTGCAAGCAGAGCAGTAGCCCCTGCCCACCCTGGAGGGAATCCTCCTCTAACTGCCAACTTTGGTTGACAGATAAAAGGGAAATTCCTTTGACCTGGCAAGCCACAGGTAAGCACTGTTGTGGCCGTGTGTCCTTTGTGAAATGGAGACTGCAAAACAAAAAATATTTTAGCCAGGTACTTTATAATTGGATGAGGTTATTGTTCAAGGTATTTTTTAAGGAGATAATTTAGCATATAACAGTTTGTGAGTATTTAAACTATCAGTTAAAATCATTTTTTGGTATCTGTTACTTTAAAATGGGTGTCAGGCTTAAAATATTACATTGACTCAGTGAAGATGTCTAACTCAAATGTCTTCAGTTGCATCTGGTATTGGTCTATTGTTACTCATAGAAGCAAAAGCTCTCATCATATATTATGTAGTCATACATTAACGCAATTTATTTTTCACCAAAAAAACCCCAGAGGGGTGGCTCTAAACTATTGATAGAAAAGTACATTTTTGGAAGGAATCATCTGACAATACCATGTTTTCCACTTATATTTTGCAAATTAAGTAGACTTGGCGATTATTTCGTCACTGGAGAAAACAAATAAAAGGTGAACTTTTGGTTTAAAAAGGTTAAGGCATAGTTAGTTCAGGGGTAGCCAAGTCAAATTGTCTAAGGGCTTTGGAGGAAATAGAACTGAGAAACTCAAGCCATCTTGGGGCCACAATCCATCTAGGTGGTATACCCACTGTTCAGTGGCAGGGCATTATACCACTAAGGAATATAGGCTTAGTGTTGCCAGATCTTCTCATTTTTAAAGAGAAGCTGTAAATTTGTATTTTTACCTAAACCTCTTAATACTTAAACATTGACAAAATATATAAAATGTAAAAGAAATCACTGTATTACCTGGGCATATTATATCTGGACATATTATAGCAATGTATGAACTTAGAGAATGAAAAAGTTTCTATTTTACCAAGAAAGATAAATTTTCTCTCCAGTAGTCAGAAATATGGATATTAAAACAATGATCAAATATAGTTTCCAATCAGATTCACAAAAAAACCCCAAATTGCTCAATTATAGTGTTTGCAAGCACGCAGAAAACTATGTACTATCATTACAGTATTGGTGAGAGTACAAAGGGTTAAAGTCTTTTGGAAGGTCAGTTAAGTGGTAGGTACCAAAATTTAAAAAAATTATATGTATTTATGTACATGATTGCATATGTATACATACATGTATCATATATATACTCTTGGACTAACTAAGCAAGCCCATTTCAAGGAATCTGTTTTAAAGAAAGACTCACTTGTGTGTACAGAAGTAATATGTGTAAGGATGTCACTTTCAGAATTGTTTATAATAGCGAAATAAAAGTGAAGATGCCCTATATATTTGTTGAGTAGGTGAGGGATTCAATAAATATGGTGCATTCAATTTATGAAATATTAGACAACAGTTTGAAAAAAGTGGAAGATCCATATCCACTTAGAGGAAAGTATAAGGTAGATAATTTCTAAAAGACAATATTGAAAGAATGAGTATGGTATAATTATGATTACATGAAAATGATATTTCTATGTGTACATATGTATGTGTGTTAGATATTTAAAAGAGTACTAGAAAAATGGGCATAGCATGGTTATGTTTTCATGAGATATTTCTATGTGTACATGTGTTAATTGTTAACAAAAGGACTGGAAGGGCATACAACAGAATTTCAACCGATGTTGTCTTTCAGATGGGAACTTGGAGTTGAGAGGTGGGAGGGGACTTTGGTCTTTTATACCTATTGCTTGAATCTTTTCCAATAAGGATATGCTAATGAATGGTTACATAAATAAAAGGAATAGCAATGACAAAACAAAATGAAGCCAATAAAATGGGATTATCATAGTGATGAAAGATAATAATATAAAAAATAAAGCATTGCCTATTGGTTAAAAATATTAATTAAATTGATATGAAAGCTATGCTATTAAATACAGAATTCTATATTGAAATAATTAAAATACAATTTCTCTCATCTGATTGTCTGTGTTCAAACCTAAAAGATAATGGATGTTAAATGCTTAGTATAGTTTCTGATACATTGAGTAAATTCTCTAAAAATATTAGCCATTATTATTGTTCATTGGAGATTAAAGCTATGAAACTAAATCAAAAGGATTTGCTTAACCATCTCTGGATACATTTTTAATGGTATATATATATATTTTTTTTGGTGAGGAAATTTGCTCTAAGCTGATATCTGTTGCTAATCTTCCTTCTTTTTTGCTTGAGGAAGATTATCCCTGAGCCAACATCTGTGCCAATCTTCCTCCACTTTATATGTGGATTGCTGCCCTAGCATGGCTTGGCAAGTGGTGTAGGTCCATGCTGGAGATCGGAACCTGCGAACTTGGGCCACTGAAGCCAAGCATTCCAGGCTTAACCACTAAGCCACGTGGCTGGCCCCTTTGATGGTATACTTTCAGAAATCCATGTTATTTTTGTAGTGGGTTAACAATGGTGCACTAATATATGGCTATGTGAGACTTATGTATTCAGAAGGATGTGTTTGTGAAATTCCTCCTCCTCCTTTTAGTTGCTGTTTTAGTGTTACATAGTTCTATACGTTATAGGGGAAATATAGTTTACTTCTGAGACTGCTGACTTTGCAACAGAACAGATTTCATCAGTTACTTCCGTGCGTCTTTACAGACATGCAAAGTCATAATAGTACCTCTAATAATGCAGCTCTAGAGAGAAGACACTGTTTGGTCATTGAAACTAATACTCATTATTAGTCAGTTTTTCTGTGTCAGCTTTTTGTGGAAAACAGATGACACCCAACTGCAACATATGCTCTATCACCTGGGTATCCTAGTAAACGTTAGGCAGAAGTGTTCAAGGATGTATTTTGTCAATACAGCATTTCCATTGCTCCTGGAGAAGCAACAGCTGAAAGGCCAGTCTGGCTGAAGATAATCAGAAAACCAAATATAAACCTATTTTTGATCCAGAAAAGAGAAAACCACAAGTAATGACAGACACTGAAAGGAGAGATGATAGGAGCAAACAAAACAGAAGGGACTTCAGAGCAGATCTAGAGCTCTTTTGTTGTACAATAACTTAAAACACTTTTAGTAATTGAAATTTGTGAAAATAAACATTGCTTTTATTTATGCAAAGAATATTTTTCCATTTTAAAGTTATAATCTTTACAAAAGTCATCTCACCGGCAGTTAAAAAAACTGTTTACTATTGCTACTTCTGATTAGAGAAATCATAGTTTTTTTATAATTAAAATCAAGAAATGTGTATATATTAACATTTCATTTCTCCCACTTCAATTTCCCCAGCCATTTTTTTAAAGCCTATTTTTTATTGATAAACGTATAGCCTTTAAATTAATTAATGTTTGGAAGTAGGAAATCATGAGTGACTCCCAGACATTCTAGATTCTGGTCAGGGGAATATAATCTTCAATTTACTTGCTTTTCTTTTTCAGGACATAGAAGGAATTTGAAAATCATGCTTCTGGAAAAGGCACAGATTTGAAATAGAACACGTGCTAAGCTCTTGTTTTCTTCTAATCAGTAGTTTCTGAATGTGAAAATTACACACTCACAATATGTGTGTATTATATGTTAAGCATATTGAAGTTAATTTATTTTTACTTATTCATATTGAATTTAGTTACCAGGTTTTTTAGTTGCTTGAAATCCAGGCAAGTTTGTAATCTTGAGATATTTATGTCTTTCTTTATTTTATATTTTACTAAAGCAAAAACTTATTTGGAAAGATATTGCATAATTCCAATGAAAAACTAGTAATTCAATATTATTGTTTTATGTTTGTTACAATTATCCACTTAATAGCAGTATCATTTTATATAATTTGCTGCAATGTATTTCAATTTCTAATACAGTATCTTAATCATACTCAACCTTCAATAAATATTTGCTGAACGATAATCATAATGAACTATGGTACACTTGAGCTGTTTTCTGCTGTTCTGTTAATTTCATTTTTCTTATAATTTTTGTAATAAATACCAATTGCTAAAACGTTATTTCCATCAGTTTAAAAAACTCAAAAGACTCTGTGTTCTGCTAGTCCCTGTCTCCTTCTACACAAATAAACTCTCTTCGCAGAATCTAAATTAAGGACCCAAATTTTCAAGGAAATTCTGTATTATGCAAAATAAGCTCTGTTCAAGCCAGAAAATGAAATTGGGTGGTAGAGTCCAGAACTTCTAACTTTGAGTTCATCATCGCGTACAAGAACTACCTGGTAAAATGCCTTAACTGCCAGGATAGGGAATGAGGATGTGGTATAACTTACTTAAAAGTCCTAGGCCACAGAGAGCTTTATAAATTAAAATGAACATCTAGAATGACTGTTGGAAGCCTGAGCTGTGCACAGAGCATCCGTATAATGTGCTCTGTGTGGTTGGCATTGCTAAACAGACAAGCTGTCACATTCTGTACTAGCTGAATATTCCAGGGCTCTTCCTCTGTCAACCAAGGTAGAGGACATGGCAGCAGTCAAACCTCAAGGTGACAAAAACCTAAAGTAGTGTGGTGAGCCCTGTATTACAGAGGGAAATTTACAAGTGTAGGTGGGGAGAAGCTTCTCTTTCCACAGCACCTATGTCATAATCCAAATGCATCCTTGGACTGAGAACATCACTATTAAAATAAAGGCACATTGTGTAGTAACAGGGACAGTACTCAGTAAAGCCAGATCTGAAAAAATAAAAACAAAGTCTCCAGAAAGGGTCATCTTGCATATTTCTAAACAAATAAAAAACAGGTATTTATAATACTGGACTCATTTAATGGGAGACAAGAATAATGAATTTTGAAATTCAACAAAAAATGTTGTCATGAATTTACTAACGAATAGGCTATATGAATATATTTAATTTATTAAAAAAGAACAATAGTGAATTTTATTTACTTAGAAAAAAATTGTATTGTCTTTATGGCTTATTCTAAAAAAAGAACAAGTGATTTGTTTTTAATTTTTATAGATATCTTCATAAGCAAATAATGACAATCCTTAAATGGCTCGTGCATGGTTTTAGGATAGTCATTGAATTGTGGCTATTTGGTGCCACCTAGTGGTAGAGGGCTTTTAAAATCAGTTTAAGTTACCTCTGCTTTTAGAAAATTTGTAATGAAAAATAATTTCTAGATGGCTGGATTGTCGCCTATAAGAGAAGAAAATTAAGACAAAATTTATTTGGCACTCACAGACATTAACTAGGGTTGTCTCTTACCCTCAACACTGAGGAGACATTCAGCTTGACTGATACAGACTGCTTTATGACTAAAAGAGATTTGGAATTGACAGGTTTTTATTCTAGTCTATTTTTATTTTTTTGTTGATTTATAAAGTCAAGGTCATAGTTAAAGGACTGATATAAACTTAGAGATGATTTATCATCTTGGCGTTAATCACTGTGATCAATATTATAAATGATATAATCATACAATTCTGTGAGCAAAGAGAAAATAATATACATCTTATAGCACATAGAAGGTTTAAAAGTGCCAAGTAACTTTTTTTCAGAATTCAGGAATAATGAGCATTCCAATTTTAGTGGTCACATCAACATACCTCCTGCCAAAGCACCTCTTTTTTTTTTTTTTAAAGAGAAACTGTTCCACTCACAGCATCCAGAAGGAAAAGATTCAGAAACCAAGTGGCCATCCCTGATGTACAGCTGATTGGACATGAGTGGGGACTGGGAAGAAATCGAAATAATTTGCTTCTCTCTTCTAATCATTCAGGATGCGACACTGAGAGGGTAAGTGAAATGAATGAAGGTAAGGGTTTAATGTGAAAATTCATGATAAGCCAAGGATGATGCTAATATCATGTAATGTCAAAGTCACTTTCAAGTTATGGAATCCACAAAGAAACCGAATAAGCCAGTCTTTCGAGAAATCGGAATCATAAAGCCATACATAGGGAAAAACAAAGATGGGGGACCCATAACTTATGATAGAAAAGACTAATCTGGAGTCTTGGCTTTCAGTTCCAATCTTCTTGTGCCCAAGCTTTTAACATGTTTCTTGTCCTTGGTTGTCTTTGATAATACCTTCAAATAACTTCCTTTTTACTTGACCTAGTAGCTTTTGATCCTTTCCACCGAATGATCCCACACTACAAAGTTATGTTTCAAATTTGGTGAAATATATTTCATAGGAAGGAATGATGTCTTTCCCAAAATTGTGAATATCAGATGTCACCAGGAAATTATACAATATTTGACTACAATTTTTACACTGAATTTCTAGATCTTTGTTTGCGGTTGTGATAATATTTTAGGTATGTAATTTTTTCTCCTGTATTTTCCTCTCCTTTCCTCCCATTCAGCAAGTACCTAACTTGTTGCCTCATAGGACAAGTTTTTGCATGTAGGGTGTGTGCGTAAATACTGCTCTTCTGGCTTGGGTTTCCAGAAGCCTTGGGCTGGGTTATGAAGTCAGGATTATATGGCGTAAGCCCATGCCTTGGTGGTCTCAGAGCGGACCCCTCACATTCAGGCACAACACTAGGCTGACTTAGTACAGGACACGGATGACAAGTGGTGATAGAACTTAACGTAGTCTTTCAAAGCTTTGCTTCTAACCGCGGGGACTGGTTCTCCTCATGCTTGCATTTGGAATATATACAAGGTTCCCAAGAAAGTCTACTGAATTAAATTGAATACAGGAACTCCCAGGAGCGCTCCCCTCCCTGTGCCTGAGGTAAATAGAAAGTACCAGTAGTTCTGGGACTCCGCACCTGGCTTCCAAAACTCATCCAACAGCCTTCACTTGCTTTTGTGTGGCAGTTTAGTTCATGCTCGCATCAGCTTATTGAGAATCCAGCCATTACCTAGACACTGGAGTTACAGAGATGAAAAATCCAGTTTCTGTCTTCAAAGCAAGCGTAACTAAAAACTTCCAGTATAACGTTATACAACCATGCCAGAGCAATACACAAAGTTCTTTGGGTGCATGATGAAAGGCCGCTGAGTCAACTTGATATTTTTGGGAAATTCCTTGCAGAAGATGGCAAACAGGTGAATTTTGGAATTGATCTGGTACAGAATGGGACATAGACCTATGCAAGGCATTTCTAGGAGATGGGCCTATATAAGACAGGGGTTGAAATATGACCCTGCAGGGTATATGTGAGGATCACTCAGGCTAATGCAGGTGACAAATGATGAGGGCTCAATTCACTGCTAATAAAAATAGGGAAGACGGAGCTGAGAAAAATTTAGAAGGTGAAACTGGTAGGATTTAGTAGCCGGTTGGAGATTGGGAGGAGAGAGGGGAATTCTTAGGCTGTCTCATGATTCTGCCTCTAATGATCGGGTAGAAGCTGATCTTATAGAGACAGGGAATATGTGAGGACAAGAGGGAGATTTAAGGAAAAGATAATAAGGGGTATCAGACGAATTGCATTTGAGGAGCCTATGGGACATTCATTTGGCTACAAAAAGCAAGCAATGGGATATGTAGCTCTAAAGTTCCTAATAGACATAAGGGCTTCAGATACACATTTGTGGATTTTAAGCATATAGGTGGTGGTTAAGACACAGGAGAGGATGAGTTCATTCAAAGAGGTTTAGAATGAGAAGAAGAGCGGGCAAAGTGGGAACACCTCAGTTTATGTGAGACTGGCTGCAGGTTGAGAGGGCACACAGCTGCTTGCAAATGTGACTCTTGATTCACTCGGTCGTTGCTTCCTTGGATGACGTGGTCTTGGTCTGCCTGCTTTGCCTGAACTCGCTGGCCCCCAGACATTGGGATTAAGTCCCTCCAGGCATCCTCTTGCGGCTCCTGTTCATTATAGACCACCTAGATTCAGTCTCGGAATCTTCGTTTGGCTCCATAGTGCTTCTAAGTCTTTACTTACCAAACCACTGGCTTGAATCTGTTCACCTCATAGACTTGTGTAGTCTTCTAGGCTTCACTGAGAAGCACAGGGAAAGACACATGTAGGCTGCAGTGGTTGGTATACTTTTTTTTTTTTTTTTAAATCAGTGACATCAATGTTTCAAATGAGCTCCCAAATAGATGAGAGATAAATCAGTGCTGTTCTGATTAAAGCCAGGTATATGTCCCAGAACAACACTCACTCAAATCCTTCTTCTCCCTGTAGCAGCTTCCTAGGCATCTTCTCAGAACCCTGGGGCGTTATGGGACACAGTTAGAAAAATCACTGTTACAGGGTAAACAGTATGCACTTTATGTAAACAACGGTTTGAACCCTGCTTCTGCAGCTTACTGGCTATATGTCTCTGGACAGATTGCTTAGTGTTTCTGAGCCTCATATTCCTCAGCCATAAAATATAATTACTTCATGGACTTGTTAGCATCAGATGAGATAATGTGTCAATGCAAAGCTCAAAGGGCATGGGAGCCTCAATAAATGTTAATTTTCTTGCTTTCACCATATCTAGGCCCTGGTGGACAATTTATGGAATCAAAATAAAATCATAGCGTCTCATTGTGGGAAAGAGTTGAGAGCTATCTGCTCCAACCTCCCTGGGGAGCTCCTTTCAAAATGTCCACATCAGATGGTCATTTAGTAACTGCCTGAAGACTGCTTCGAGACTGCAGCTTTTTCTTTCTTTCTTTTCTAGTGATGGATTCTGTTTCACTGATGTACACCTCAGACTGAGTCAAAAATTTGACCCATTATTCTAAACTTCATTCTTCAGAACAATACATGCAATTGTAGTCATTCAAGTTCCACAGCCAGATTACCAAGTATTCTGTAAATTGTGATCCTGTTTTGGTTAAAAGATAAACAGATTCATGTATGTATGTGCATATGTGTACAGACATCTGTAGGATTTATATAAAAATTTAAAAGTAGTTAATTCTGTATTGATATTATAGAAAAATTTCTTCACAATAAAAAATTCTATATTACATGATTTTTTTCCCCTCTAATAAGCATGTGCTTTTACAAATACGATCGTTTTATCTCTTTTTTGTGTTCTTGATCCCTATAAAAAATTTTAAAGATAGATAGGGGAAATGTTATCTTCATTCTGCGCAAGCATGCATACACACATACACACACACACCTGGAAATCAGAGGGTTGAAATAGTATTCTGAGGTTTATTGGGAATACTGGGACAAGAATTAAGTTCAGATTTTCTAATTCCTATTCTTCCTACCACATTTTATTTGTTTTTTTTTTTTTACTCTAAGTGTCCCATTCCCTCAGCTCTGTCACCTTTGATGTATCTCTCACATTTCCTACCATCCAGGCCGTTCTTCCCTGAATGCATTCCTGTCTGCTAATTTTTCTAATTGAAATGAAGTATCTGGAAGTATGCAAAATATTGAGGTAATCTGAAAAACACGTAATAGAGTCTAATACCTTCCTTGATTAGGACATTACACATTTATTAAATCAAGATATAATACTTTTATTCAATATACATGAATTTCAGATAATTTTAAAACTTTTCGTATTTCCATTATGAATGCAATATATATTCACTGTAGGATATTTGATAAGTACAGAGAAAGAAGCAAAAAAATCATTTATCTATCACCTATAGTTCTTCTACTCCAAAATAACTGCTCTAAATATTTTGTGTGTTTTCCCACTAGAAAGGAAATTCCTTGGGCACAAGAATTTGATTTATTTTGTTCAATGTTCACTTTGTGCCTAGATTAGTACCTGGTAGATATCAGGAGGCATTTAATTAAAATTTGTAGGGAATGAATGAAATATTCATGTATATACATTTATATTTCTGAGTACATAATAGAGTCTGTACAATTTTGTATCTTGACTTTTTTCAGCTCATATTAAGTTGTTGATAATATTAGCAATTTTATGTAGAAGCATAAATTCTAATTATCATCATAATGATTGTATAACACCCTATTGAGTGAATAGGCTGTCCTGTTTTTGGACACTTATAGTGTTTTTAATATTTTGCTGCAATGACAAATAATGCTATACATGCATTATTATACAATGCAAATAATGCAAACATCTCTGTGTGCATATTTTTATAATTTCTGACAGATGTTTTTTGCAGATATTTTCAAAGCGAAATTATTAGTTCAAGAGTGTAAACAGTTCAAAATAAACATTCTTCTCCCCTCCCCGCAGTTATACAGAATTTGTGTAGATGTTGAATTTGTGGTCATCTATCCTCATTGAGCTTCCAGCTCTTTTTCAGATCAAAATCTGATATACACTGATCCACAAGGTTTAGGTATGTTGTCCAAGGAGATACGAGTTCTTGTTAGCGTACCATCCTTGTCTAATTTCCTCTCACTTCACAATACCAACCGCTTCTTTCTTTCTGGTCAGAATTAAGTAGCAGTTCCACATTTTGCTTCTACTACTTTCTGAGAGATGAAATTGTCAGCAAGGCAAGTCGAAAATTTGTCTGATGCCCAGCTTTTTAGTATAATGAGATTTCTAGCAGATGTCTTTATAGTGGAAGTGCTCCATTACTGTTCTGTCTTTTCTCTGTGACAGATTTTTAATCTGTGTTAAGAAAGCAATGCCCACATCTTTTGTCGGGCCAGGCAGTCTGTTCTAGGCTCTTCCACTGTGTTCCTTTAGTTTCTCTTTCTTCATATGGCTCTCATCTTTACCTGCCCGTAGATTTCAATGTAGAAGCTATCCTTGTTAAAAACAAAACATAAAATTTTTCCATATAATACATATGTACTCTAATTTTAGAGATCATTCATATCAATTATAGGAAGCCTAGAAAAGGATGAAAAGCTTAAAGAAGAAATCCAAAATAACCCATAATACAACAATTT